CTGCGATCCTGTTGAGGACTTAGAATCTTTGAATCTGAGATACATAAGACTTACCTGATAACAGGGTCATAAATGTTTATATCATTTTAGCCGTATTTAGATACTTGCCTGACAAAGGTTTGAAACACTTATGAAGTCTTTTGAATCCTCAACTCTGCCAACACTTTCTTCAAATCTGATACTGTATTCCGAGTCATGATACTCTATTGGTTCTGTAAACAATGAGTCCTTCATTATAATTTTGTTAAATTCTATATCATAAGGGCCTTAACTTATGAAAGCAAAATACTGCTTGACAACGTGGTGTGTTGTATATATCTGAAATATATCAAAATCAATATAAACACAAAATGAATTATTAAGCAGTGCCACCCATCACCACTAGACCTAAATCCTAAATAAATAAAATCAACCCATTCGCCCCATGTGGCAAAAATACATGCCATGCCCACTGTAATATATTTTTTGTATGTACACATAGATGGCTCTACAAGTTCTTAATCACCAAATAGCCAGTTTATCAGAACTACCTATTTCACCTGTTTACTCATTTCCTTCACTTTAGGAAAGGGGTTTTTGCAGCATTTCATTGTCTAATATAATTTAATGACAATTTAATAATCATAACATCAATAACAATAATAACAGTATCAATAGCAATGGCATTAATTTTCCCGCCAATTCATTGAATGGGAAAATCAGGATCGGTAACTAGGGCCTACTGATAGATTCCTTGTCGGCTGAGCACATGTGGAGCCATCTGTAGGTAACAAAATTCACCAAAAACTACAGGGGACAGAACATAAATCCGGAGCGAATGGGTTAATATTTCAGTATACTACATTCTTTACTTTTCCATAGTAATAGACTTACCATCTTTTATTTCTAATTTATTTTCAGTATCATCAAAGTCTTCATCGATTTCAGCCTTCACATTGAAGTTCTGCAACAACAATAAAAAGGCTATAAAAATGGAAAAAATAAACACACATATAGATAGACAGATATACATATAGATGTAAACATATATAAATACACACAAACACACACAAATACGCACACACGCACACACGCATGCACACACACACACACACACACACACACACACACACACACACACACACACACACACACACACACACACACACACACACACACACACACATACACATATATTTATATGTATATATTTATATGCATATACATATGTATATATTTGTATATATACATATACACAAAGAATAATTTGGTGTGCGTACTAGTTCCCTGCCAAGACAGTCCTGCACCTATATCCAAAGGCTCCGGTACCTGTATTAGTCTTGGGTGCTCCATAAACGATTCATCCGATATATCTTTTCTGGATAACTCTTCTTTGACCCATATGTTTGATGGCATATCCCCCACCTCGTCATCTTCAAAAGTACGTCCTCTTTCAAGGCATCCAGTAACTGCAAAGTAAGCAAGGTGATGAAAATAACGGTGTTTATTTATCAATAATAATGGTAATACTGATACAATAGCTGTAGTGGTAGTAGTAGTAGTAGTAGTAGTAGTAGTAGTAGTAGTAGTAGTAGTAGTAGTAGTAGTAGTAGCAGTAATAAAATTATAATAACAATAATGATAATAATAATAATAATAATAATAATAATAATAATAATAATGATGATGGTGATAATGATGATGGTGATGATGATGATGATGATGATAATGATAATGATAATGATAATGATGATGATGATGATGATGATGATGATGATGATGATGATGGTGATGATGATGATAGTGATGATGATAGTGATAGTGATGATGATGATGATGATGATGATAAAGATGAGGATAATTACAGTAATAACAATAATATCATAAATAATAAAACAATATCAACAATAATAATAACAATGGTTGGTCTTTGTAGTTATATGAAGACAGCCTATATCAAGTTGGCAATCTACATATGTAAAATGACAGGATTGCAACACATATTTATGTTTCTGTACAACATCTATAGTGAACAACCTAATACTGAATAATGAATCATATGAATATTTTACAGCTGATAACTAACTTTCCTATCTTGACATCTCACTCAAGAAGTAATAAATGTGTATTGCATATATAGAAGTGAATCATGTCATTTTATTTATATGACTGATCTGACATAAACCACAACACAACTATCCTTACTGTCCTTGAATACAGTACAGCAATGACACATGTTCATATGATCCATATAGGTCTAACACCATTTATCGGATATTTACCCTTTATCTGTACTTTAGTATTGATGAACTACTCAGAATGCAGCACTAATTAAATAACAATAATCATCATGGAAATATAGCTAATAAAGAATGATGGTAATTTTCTAAGCTAATGAATGATTTTAATCATACATCCAGTAACAGTTGGGAGTCAGTGAGTTGCTTTCAATTCATATACATTTACAAGTACTTTAACTTCTTTCGTGAACCAGTTATTTGCAATGAAAAACAACAGCAGCAGATTTACATGCATTACACAGAGAGTAAATAGAACAAAGTATAATAATTACAAGGGTGAATGACTGTGTGAATTTTAATCCCTCCCTAAACTGTGCCCCCCAAAATTAACCAAAATGTACCCAACAGTGAGGAAATTATGGATGAAAGGGAGACACTCTAAATAAACGTAATTAACTCATAATGCACAAGTTCTAGACCTCTAGCCTACCTGGAAGACCTGAGGCTGTGGTTTGTTTACCTTTGCTGGAGTGCCAACAGCTGTACCAAAACACGAGCCTATCAACTCTAGAAACTTACTAATCTCTAGTCTCCGATCATAATATGAAGGAAAATGTCCTGAACTTTATCAACACATCGATTACACGTGCTGTTAAGCCTTACTCCGAAAAATATTACATATATACTACATAACATACTAAACATACTAAATACTACATACTAAACCTGACAGGACCTTACCAAAGGCACTTGACTCGGCCACATCATCGCCTGCTGTTCTTCTTTTGGACGCTCTAGCTACTCCTGCCTGTGCTTCCTGCAGTACGCGTCTCTTACTCTTCCTTCCCATCCTTATCTCAGATGTTTTCTCTTTGGTATTATAATAATGAGAGCGTGTGCGGCGTTATTGGGATTTATGATTTATTTGAGGGTTAACTTAGACATTTTCATTGTGCTGAAGAAAACGTTTCGTCATTCTGTCACTTCTGGCCATAACTGTAGGTGATTTACTTGAGCAAAGAAGACAGAAAAAAGAAAAGAAAATGGAAGAAATTCTTGAGGATCATAAGAGTGAGACTCCCCTAAAAAAAAAGGCATAAATAGAAGAAATATATGTAATTTTGGTCTATGTTTTGGGGTCTCCACGTGACTTTTGTTATTGGTTGGAACGTTTATGACGTCATGGTTGCGCTCAGCCAATCACAGGCTTTGTTATTGTCGTGTCTTCGAAACCTCCCTTATTACCGCGAAATAAATCTAGAATAACATATACCAAATAACTAATTTCCAGTAAATTTTGAAACGTTTCAACTATTAATCTGATGTCATAAGAGAAGTCCTTTTAACAAAATTCACCATATCGACATTAAAAGCGAAAAAATCCAGTTTGAGGCACGCGGCTGAGGCTTCGTAGGATCAGTTGTCATGGCATCGAGAAGGCCAAGCGGAGGCAACCTCTGCTGTCTTCCTTTATGCCGATCGAGGAAATATCTGGACTCAAACCTTCATTTTCACCGTTTCCCGTCAAACAGCGAATTGTAAGGGACAAACAGTTGCAATAATTAAAGCGTCCTTGCTGCTGTTACACACCCTTGTTACCATCGTACTTTGGTGTATAACATGACTATTTATCC